GTTTTTATTTTGCATTAAAATTTGTATATTTAATCTTTACTTTTTTTTTAAATTTCATATTTTTTTATTCTAACGTTTATTACAAATAAAGTTTTGTAAATCATTAATAAGTGTTACTTTATGTGCGACCCGCCAAAAAATTTTAACATTTAAATTGGCCCGTTGATTAAAATGGTTGTTCACCCCTGATCTAGACGTTGCTGTACAAAACATTACATTCGGATTTTTGCTTTAGGAATTAGGGATTTTACAATAAATTTAAAAGTTATTCATGTCAATTGTTCGTACTAATTTTTTCGCTTTGTAGTTGAATAGATTATTACCAATAAGCAATTTAAAATGTAAATTTATTATTATTCATGAAATTTTCCTTGGCTTAAGTTTCAGTCAGGTGCTACGTATGTACGTGACATTTGTTCTTTTTATTGCGTTTATTTATTTCAAGCATAAACAATATTTTAGAAAGTATCAAAAATACATGCGGATAACTATTAAAGTTAATGAGTAAATTTTACAACATTATTAAATGATGAGCAGAGTTTCAACATGTGTGTATGTATACGCGTTTGTATGTTATTACGTGTAAATACAAGGTTTTTAGAATGCGGACTCGCACATTAATATATGTATACATAAAGAATAATAATTTAACCGTTAAATTCTGCTATTCTTATTAAAAAGTCAAGTTGTTTTACTATACGTATTAGATATGTTCTTATACAAGTGAGGCAAAATGTTCACCGGACATAGCAATTACAAATTTATTTGTGTCTTACGGATGAAAATAGATAATATGGAGAATTTTCAATTTTTCAAAAACGTCTATCTGGAAATATCTCCCGCTTCTTTAAAAATGGTTCTAAAGTAACCGAATTCTTAAAATCTTTTGAATAAAGCATAGCACCCCCCAAGACACTTAAAGATGCTGACGCTGTTTCAAGATTGAATATCACATTTCTTAGGCTCTCAACTCGCCACTATGAGTTTCTAAGTAACTGCCCCACATTAAACGAAGGAGCTATTCCTATTTTTGAAAGTAGACACTCGGTAATGTGAACTCATTTATGCATGAAAGAAATCTGAATTGATACAGTGTATTATTACAAACGATTTTATTTGCAAATGTTCTGAGATTTAATTTTATTAAATTTGAAAATCCCAAGTAACTAAGTACATAACTAATTTGTGCCCTCAGGTTAATTGTTATGTATTTGTACGGTTTCCCCCAAATTTATTTATTGACTGTTTTACATTTCGTAAGTATAATTGGCAATTGGATTTTTTTTGAAATATCAATTTTTTTGTTCCAGATAACAAAGACTTGGATCGGAGGTAACATTAACATTCTTCCAAAACAACGCTGTGACAAGCAAACGTTCAATCAAGGAAATACAAAAAATATAATTAACCAAACAATAAAATCTAAGCATAAATGAGTGAAATAATAGTGGAAAAATATATCAAAACGAAACATTATTGATCAAACTTAATTGGCTCGTTACACCATCGGAGTCAGCATTGGCGTAGAGATTGCCCCCTCGCACGGCCCAATGGGGGGCGAAACCTCCCCCGAGCAGCAATATTCGCTGCGTTGGAACGACTTCCATTCGTCGATACTGTCGTCGTTTCGACATCTTCGGGATGAGGAAGATTTTGTGGATGTCACCTTGGCATGCGACGGCTGTTCTTTTACTGCCCACAAGGTAGTATTGTCGGCTTGCAGCCCTTATTTCCGAAGACTTTTGAAAGCCAACCCTTGCCAACATCCCATTGTGATACTCAGAGATGTACAACAGAAAGATATGGAAAGTTTACTAAGGTAAAAAGTTGTTACGTACTTAATTAATTAATCAGCCCATGCATACTGAACATAATTGTAATTTATTATACAATTATAATTGTCTAAAAGCACTGACGCTGCAATAGGCCAGAAAAATAAAATAACGCGGATAGATTCTTGTTTCATCATCAATCCAAATTCAATGTTACGATATCAGCCAACAGTACATCCTGGTAATATCCTTCAATGGCGCTTGAAAAGAACTCTCGTTCCTTATATTTAAATATTATGCAGAATTCCCTAAACACAATTTAGGGGGACAAATGTTTTAGATAAATAACTTTTAGTATCATCGAATTGTGTCAGATTTTTGTACTATCCTTAGGCTTTAACGTTGCACAAAAGCAACCTGGTAAACCTACAGTCACCTTTGCAGAGAATTTGATATTCCTTTCTCAGAAGCCATCGGTCGTCCTACATTTGTTGATTTTGTGTCATGTTGAAGCGCGTGTACTGTACAATTCTATTCAACGCATATTTTACATTTTAACGAATGTCAGTCGCGAACTTTTATGTGTGTTTTCCAGATTATGTTTGATACAAAATTGAAAAACTGTAAAAGAAGAGCACCATTTGATGCTTAATATTTAGCAAGTGTTTAAATAAAAGTCAGTAAATAAAACTGAGCTTTTCATATTAAAATATGTGTCTAATAATACTCCACATGAACGGAAAAGTGAAAATATAACTTTTAACCCCATCTTTTTAACGAGAAAAAATATTTCAAAAGGACTTTCTGTTGAATTCTTATTTGAAGCATCTGCACACAAGATTTCATAATAAAAGGTTTAAAAAACCTGAACTTCACCCAAAAAGTTAAATCCCTGGGCGAAGCAATGTTCAACTAAAATATTAAAGAACAGATTAAGTTTTTGATTGGTAATTTATCGAAATTACCAAACGTAGATCCTGACTTCGATCATATCCGGTCTCATCAGCACACCATAGACACTTTTGATAAATAGTTAAGCCAAGATGCTTCATATAAGCTTATTTATACATATCTGCTGTAACTAGATTGTATTCGATTGAAATGTTCGAGAAATGCTAAAGTTTTATTGTTATTATTGAATAATGCGAAAAAGCAACCAGGAAAAATAGTAAATAAATATTTCCATTCTATTTTTGCGTATGCCTAGATACTAGTTAAGATAGTTCAAATGACTAACATACATTTGGCACGCATCAAACTTCTTTAACAACTGTTATTTAACCGAAATATGCGATTGATTTTATAAATAATCATTCTAAATTTTTCTAATTCATTGGCAAAAGGTATGTAATTTTGTTTATAAAAGCGAATTATCCTTAACACAGACATGCTGGATTATGTGGAAATAAAGTTTGATGAAAAACAACTTTCGCATTGCGGACAGGTTGTGGCATCAATTAGATCTGTACATATCTACTTGGATATTTTCATTCATAATAAATAAGGATATAAGAATTACTTATAGGTGTTTTATATTCTTGAATGAATTCTTATATCATTGTGGTTCTGGGAGCGTTGCTTTACCTGCCTATATGAATATTATAAGTGCTTTGTGGAAGACATGAATTTCTAACTTTATGATGATAATAATAATAAGAAATCAGAGCCAAACAGGGGCCAACCTTATTCTCGAGTTAGGTCAGGTATCTAGTTTGGATCTGGCACTTTTTTGAAGATCTGGACGGTTACCGGATAGTAACTCCAAGTATCCAGCAACAAACACCAGCATTAATAGTTTAACAAGTACAATAAAGAACCTGAAGAAGCGTGCGTTAAGAGGAGTAGAGGTAGACCTAGATTAGATTACGTTTCACAAATGGCCTAGGAATCCTAGTTTTAGGGAAATGCAAAGATTAACTTGGTATAGGAAAAAGTGGAGATGCATATCCAACCTGTCTGAGAAATCCCGACCTAATGAAATTTGGTAGTTAATTAAGATTGCAGGTATTGAGATAGGTCGTTTTTCCTAATTTGTACTATACTAAATATTTACTATTTTGATATAGTCCTTGTGTTTAGTTGTTCATATATGTTGTTCCTTCTCCTTTATTACTTTAGAATCCATGTTATCGAATTACCATCTGTACATAAACAGGCTTCTAGCCTAAAAATCTCAACAATCGCGATAATCATATTAATAGTAATTTGATGCCCTTTAGCCCATCAGCGCCCTCTTGCAATGTGCATGTATTAAACTTTCGGCAAAATGGAAAAACGTTGGAAAGAAACGAGCAAATTAACCAGTACCATATAGTTATAATATTTTTTCACTATTTGCATGTTTGTAGATTAAATTTTCTACAGTTTTGTTTGCTACCTCACGAACGAATTTAATTTATTGCGAAAGTCGCGATATCATTCTTATTTTTTACGAGTAGTTTACCTGCCAGGGCGATATTTTTATTACCGTAACTGTCAGTCGTCGCGAGACAGTAATAAGCTGACTACAATTTGTCATATCTATTTACAATATTAATTTCAGTAAAATAACGGAAAACCATCCGACAGGAATTACATGGTAGGGGCATTATTATATATTGTTTCGACTTAGTCTTTTCGGTCAGGTAATAGTCACTTTATTCATTTTTTAAAGACAGTTAATGTTAACATAAGTTAGATATAAAATAATGAAACAGCAATCCCGTCAAAGCGACTTGAGAATAGCAGCGACGTACATTTGTACCGTTTTAGAGGATATGTGAAGGTCCTTTCTTCAGTATATAGGCTGTTGTATACGAAGGTATGATAGGAGGCGCTGTTGCATTGATTGAAAAATCAACTCCGGCCTGCGGTGATCATCCCTATCAATATTGAGTTTTTACCACACGCTTGTATGCTTCTGAAGGACTTATTTAATATGAATGATGTAACTTACTACTGGTGACAGAATATTTCATTTTATTAAACGGTCATTTAGTAGCAATAGCATTTAGACAAAGTCTTTATGCATTCCACTAAAGTTTACCAGTTTCGATAAATTTTATTCATAAAAATGTGATATCTACAAATAAATAAATGCGATAATTGATTAGATAAGCTTAAGTAAAAGGCATTATAGTTAATTATTATTATTATTAAATACAACTAAAAAGAAAGATAACCTAATGACATCCGGGATCATATTGAAATTAAAGAACAGATACAAGTATCGATTTTTATAAAATCTGTTCGTATTCTGGATTTGGAGAACGTTTGGAAAGTCTTCCGATTCGGGATTCACCGACTACACTCTTTTCCCTTCTCTTCTAATCTCATCAACTCTCGTTTTTGCAAATGAATTATAAGAAACAGTTTATTCCGTAATATTCCTAATAAGGACTAAGACATTTTAAATTAGAAAAAGACTTTTGATGTGTGAAGTATTTTACGGTTGCTTGATTTTCAAAATTAGTTTTCCCTCAAACGTACTCTCTTCATATCTATCGAAAACTCATTTCGTTATTACTTTTGATTTATCTATATGTCACACATTCGTAGTTTATAGTTTTAGACCTATACATATTTTGCTTGAGAATACCCCAAGCGGAGATGCAGTGTTATCCATATATGTCAAAGACATCTTTTATTTTAAACATCTTCCCCTGTAGTAGTCCTTAATAGGGAACACTTCAATTTGAATTAAAAGTTTCATTTGTTATTTTTAACTTTGCCAGGGTTTTGCCATGCACAGAGTCTCGCCTTGTACAGAGACTAGCCTTGCACAGAATCTCGCCTTACAAAGAGTCTCGCCTTGCACAGAGTCTCGCCTTACAAAGAGTTTCTCCTTGCACAGAGTCTCGCCTTGCATAGAGTCTCGCCTTGCACAGAATCTCGCCTTACAAAGAGTCTCGCCTTGCACAGAGTCTCGCACTACAAAGAGTCTCGCCTTGCACAGAATCTCGCCTTGCATAGAGTCTCGCCTTGCACAGAATCTCGTCTTACAAATAGTCTCGCCTTGCATAGAGTCTCGCCTTGCACAGAATCCCGCCTTACACACAGTCTAGCCTAGCACAGTGTCTCGCCCTGCACAATGTCTCGTCATACGGAGTGTTTTGCCATACTTGACTCGTTTCTACCCTCTAGGTTAATTTAAAATAATAACAGGCGTGCACTGCGGAATCCTGTTATAATAATGTGTATAAATTGCAGCAAACACCATTCAGGCGCCTCTAGGTCCCTTTCGGACAATTTGTCATAGGTAATTATCTTCCATCTTGGGATTTTTCAAAAGTACATCATTAAGGTAAATTAGGTTATGACAAATGTAGAGGTTCATTATACTGCAAGAGTGGTAGGTGCAATAAAATAAATCAGCTGCAGTTTATATAATGATAACTACATTAACTTATTAGATGCCGTGAATACTACCCCCGACCTATTTATCACTCGCTAAAATTTACATTTGTTATGATTTTTTTTTTTCGCCGTTTGTTCCAATTTTAACGTGTAATTCATTCTATTTATTTTTTCAATGGATCCATTTAAGATATTCCACAAATCTTGCTTGTAAGCATTAGAAACGTAAAAGATAAACCTGGTCTAAGGAATCAGTCGATAGAATGTAAAAGTTAATGACATTTTGTGTTATCTGCAGAGTTTAGTATTTAGTATTTAGACTTCTTGTATATTCGTATATTTCTAAAGTAATCGATCTCGTGTGTTGTTGTTCAGTGTACATAATACCTATAAGTAACGTGCGCGTGTACAATCACTTTGTCTTTTTGAAAATCCGCCGCGATAACTGGAAGTACTTATTTGTAATGATTTTCTGACTTGGGGCGTTCAAATTCCGTTACTACCTCTAATTTTAATTCAAAACCAATTAATAAGGTTGACACAGCTGTGACAACTTTCGAAAACTATGGTAGATTAATCATCCTAAAAACCGTTCCATAGAAAAATGCGCAACACTTAAGCCGCACGTAAATAGAAAAAATTCACTTATTCATCACTTTAGAATTCAATTACTGCTGGAAATAAAAGTGGATTACGATACACCTATACACAGATTT